TTTAAAAAAATTCTTTTATATAAATCCACGCCTCTATGGTCTTTAAAAAAAATCTTTTTTATAAATCCACGCCTCTATGGCCTTAAAAAAATTCTTTTATATAAATCCACGCCTCTATGGTATATGAAAAAAAAAATCTGTTATATAAATCCACGCCTCTATGGTCTTTGGAAAAATTCTTTTATATAAATCCACGCCTCTATGGTCTTTGAAAAAATTATTTTATATAAATCCACGCCTCTATGGTCTTTGAAAAAATTCTTTTATATAAATCCACGCCTCTATGGTCTTTGAAAAAATCTTTTATATAAATCCACGCCTCTATGGTCTTTAAAAAAAATTATTTTATATAAATCCACACCTCTAAGTTTTTCATTTGGTCTCGGTGTGAGTATTAGTGGGGTCCCACCTTGCTTCATTGATTTATTGCACAATAAATCACAACACCTTCTTCCGACTCCTGTCTCATTTTAGGTCACCCACTGAAGAATGCAGCAAAAAAATGAGATTATCGAAATATAATAAACCAAAAAATCTTCGCAAAACTCTTATCAGATATTGAGGTGTATAAAACATAGGTACTATTGAATATATCGCTTTAAGCCTAAAACAACGACAACCATTTAATTTTGTCCTGCACGAACATTTAAAATAAAATTTAAATACCGATCCTTTGTAATACCCTCATCAATTGCTTATCTATTTCTTTTGGAGTCCATTTAAAACAAAACTGGAAAGAACGCCAACTATCCTAAATTGTCAATAAGTTATTGGTGTTGTTCGCATTCTATCCTTTAAATGATGCTGCTGGCTTCCTATTATGTTGCAGAAAGACAGCACAAAAAATGTCACACAGTTTAGTAGACCTATAAATTTTTAATAAAGTCAAAAGTTTTTTTCTTGGTTTTTATGCCAGGCAAAGGGTATAATTTTTATTAAGGTTGAACTTTAAACAAACATCCACACATACACGATACGATACACAACATTTTTTGGGGATAGGAAGGAAGGAAAAAAACAGAAAATATGTGAAAAAATTGTCATTCGATTTTGAATGTTTGGTGTTTTTGTTGTTGTCTTTTTTTTCGAATATCGAAAAGCAATAACGAACGAAATGGACGACACAACAAATTTATAGAAATGGGGACAATGGATGTAATGTTGAAATGGAGACCGATGACAAAATGAAAAGCGGATATCGGACAAGGTAATTTAAGGGATTGCCATTTAATTCAACAACAACAAAATGTTATATCGAATACAATGTCCGAATATATATGGAATTTTATTTGAATGTTGGTCAATGGGTTGAATTTTTTTAGACACATTGTACACACGCGCGGCAAGAAGGGCATGGTTTTTAAAGTAAAGTATTTTATACAGATTTTATATAAAGGTGTGAAATTATAAAAGCTATTTTTCCTGGACTATGGAATCGGGGACTTAAATAACCAGTGCTATTGAAGCGTGGATTTGTATAAAAGACTTTTTTCAAAGACCATAGAGGCGTGGATTTGTATAAAAGAATTTTTTCAAAGACCATAGAGGCGTGGATTTATATAAAAGATTTTTTTTCAAGGACCATAGAGGCGTGGATTTATATAAAAGAAATTTTTTCAAGGACCATAGAGGCGTGGATTTATATACAAGAATTTTTTTCAAGGACCATAGAAGCGTGGATTTATATAAAAGAATTTTTTTCAAGGACCATAGAGGCGTGGATTTATATACAAGAATTTTTTTCAAGGACCATAGAGGCGTGGATTTATATAAAAGAATTTCTTCAAGGGCCATAGAGGCGTGGATTTATATAAAAGAATTTTTTTCAAGGACCATAGAGTCGTGGATTTATATACAAGAATTTTTTTCAAGGACTATAGAGGCGTGGATTTATATAGAAGAATTTCTTCAAGGGCCATAGAGGCGTGGATTTATATAAAAGAATTTTTTCAAGGACCATAGAGGCGTGGATTTATATAAAAGAATTTTTTCAAGGACCATAGAGGCGTGGATTTATATAAAAGAATTTTTTTTCAAAGACCATAGAGGCGTGGATTTATATAAAAGAATTTTTTTCAAGGACCACCATAGAGGCGTGGATTTTTAAAAGATTTTTTTCAAATACCATAGAGGCGTGGATTTATATACAAGATTTTTTTTCAAGGACCATAGAGGCGTGGATTTTTATAAAAGATTTTTTTTCAAGGACCATAGAGGCGTGGATTTATATACAAGAATTTTTTCAAAGACCATATAGGCGTGGATTTATATAAAAGAATTTTTTCAAAGACCATAGAGGCGTGGATTTATATACAAGAATTTTTTTCAAGGACTATAGAGGCGTGGATTTATATAAAAGAATTTTTTTCAAGGACCATAGATGCGTGGATTTATATAAAAGATTTTTTTCAAAGACCATAGAGGCTTGGATTTATATAAAAGAAGTTTTTCAAAGACCATAGAGGCGTGGATTTATATAAAAGAATTTTTTTCAAAGACCATAGAGGCGTGGATTTATATAAAATAATTTTTTCAAACCATAGAGGCGTGGATTTATATAAAAGAATTTTTTCAAAGACCATAGAGGCGTGGATTTATATAAAATAATTTTTTCAAAGACCATAGAGGCGTGGATTTATATAAAAGAATTTTTTCAAAGACCATAGAGGCGTGGATTTATATAAAAGAATTTTTTCAAAGACCATAGAGGCGTGGATTTATATAAAAGAATTTTTTCAAAGACCATAGAGGCGTGGATTTATATAAAAGAATTTTTTCAAAGACCATAGAGGCGTGGATTTATATAAAAGAATTTTTTCAAAGACCATAGAGGCGTGGATTTATATAAAAGAATTTTTTTCAAGGACCATAGAGGCGTGGATTTATATAAAAGAATTTTTTCAAAGACCATAGAGGCGTGGATTTATATAAAAGAATTTTTTCAAAGACCATAGAGGCGTGGATTTATATAAAAGAATTTTTTCAAAGACCATAGAGGCGTGGATTTATATAAAAGAATTTTTTCAAAGACCATAGAGGCGTGGATTTATATAAAAGAATTTTTTCAAAGTCCATAGAGGCGTGGATTTATATAAAATAATTTTTTTTTCAAGGGCCATAGAGGCGTAGATTTATATAAAAGAATTTTTTTCAAGGACCATAGAGGCGTGGATTTTTAAAAGAATTTTTTTAAAGGACCATAGAGGCGTGGATTTATATAAAAAATTTTTTCAAAGACCATAGAGGCGTGGATTTATAAAAATATTTTTTCAAAACCATAATAGAGGCGTGGATTTTAAAAGAATTTTTTCAAGGACCATAGAGGCGTGGATTTATATAAAAGAATTTTTTCAAGGACCATAGAGGCGTAGATTTATAAAAAAGAATTTTTTTAAGGACCATAGAGGCGTGGATTTATATAAAAGAATTTTTTCAAGGACCATAGAGGCGTAGATTTATAAAAAAGAATTTTTTCAAGGACCATAGAGGCGTGGATTTATATAAAAATATTTTTTCAAGGACATTCAAAAGGCGTGGATTTATATAAAATATTTTTTCAAGGACTTTCAAAAGGCCTGGATTTATATAAAAATATTTTTCAAGGACTTCCAAAAGGCGTGGATTTATATACAAATATTTTTTCAAGGACTATCATAAAAATATTTTTTCAAGGACTATTTTTAAGGCGTGGATTTTTTAAAGAATATTTTTCCAAGGACTATTATTAAGGCGTGGATTTTTTAAAAATATTTTTTCAAGGACTATCAATGAGGCGTGGATTTATATAAAAATATTTTTTCAAGGACTATCAATGAGGCGTGGATTTATATAAAAATATTTTTTCAAGGACTATCAATGAGGCGTGGATTTATATAAAAATATTTTTTCAAGGACTATCAATGAGGCGTGGATTTATATAAAAATATTTTTTCAAGGACTATCAATGAGGCGTGGATTTATATAAAAATATTTTTTCAAGGACTATCAATGAGGCGTGGATTTATATAAAAATATTTTTTCAAGGACTATCAATGAGGCGTGGATTTATATAAAAAAAAATTATTCAAGGACTATCAATGAGGCGTGGATTTATATAAAAATATTTTTTCAAGGACTATCAATGAGGCGTGGATTTATATAAAAATATTTTTTCAAGGACTATCAATGAGGCGTGGATTTATATAAAAATATTTTTTCAAGGACTATCAATGAGGCGTGGATTTATATAAAAATATTTTTTCAAGGACTATCAATGAGGCGTGGATTTATATAAAAATATTTTTTCAAGGACTATCAATGAGGCGTGGATTTATATAAAAAATTTTTTCAAGGACTATCATAGAGGCGTGGATTTATATAAAAAATTTTTTCAAGGACCATAATGAGGCGTGGATTTATATAAAAATATTTTTTCAAACCAGAAGGACCATAGAGGCGTGGATTTATATAAAAGAATTTTTTCAAGGACCATAGAGGCGTGGATTTATATATAAGAATTTTTTCAAGGACCATAGAGGCGTGGATTTATATAAAAGAATTTTTTCAAGGACCATAGAGGCGTGGATTTATATAAAAGAATTTTTTCAAGGACCATAGAGGCGTGGATTTATATAAAAGAATTTTTTCAAGGACCATAGAGGCGTGGATTTATATAAAAGAATTTTTTCAAGGACCATAGAGGCGTGGATTTATATAAAAGAATTTTTTCAAGGACCATAGAGGCGTGGATTTATATAAAAGAATTTTTTCAAGGACCATAGAGGCGTGGATTTATATAAAAGAATTTTTTCAAGGACCATAGAGGCGTGGATTTATATAAAAGAATTTTTTCAAGGACCATAGAGGCGTGGATTTATATAAAAGAATTTTTTCAAGGGCCAAAGTCTACGGTCTAGCCGAAAATAAAGTATGAATGGTAGGAATTTTCAATTATTTTATTTTTATTAAACAGTTCTCAGTTCAAAGTTATTTACAAAATTTCTTCCATATTCTAGTAATTCCTATTCTTTGACTTCCATCATTTCAGCCTTGGCAGCTTCGAAACATTGATAAAGTTGGAAACCAGTATCACAACGATCTTCACCCTTAATATCACGACATTTATCCAAAGCCTTTTTCGTTTTTTCTTCTCCAATTATGGAACCCAAAGTTTTGAGGACAACATCTTCCTGTATGACACTATCCTTCAGGGTTCCCACCTTTTCAAAGAAACATGTACCAAAACATTTTAGCTTTTGTGAGGGATTAGTGAAGTCTTTGTTGCGCAATTTATTCGCCTCTTCCTCTGTGATATTTTCCTCTTTGACACATTCTTCAAAGTGGAGCTTAGCCTTCGCCTTTTGATCTTCGCTTAACTCAAGGTGCTGAAAAAAGTAGGATTTCATAAAATAAAGGAGAATTTAATATACATCTTAAATATTGGGGAATGGAACTCGAGCATACCCTTTATTAAGGGTTTCCATATTTATAGCTATAAATTTATTGTCCTGTTTCTACTTACCGAAGCCCATGCTGAGGCTACCAAGCAAGCAACAGCCAATGTAATAAAAATCTTCATTATGATTCCGCCAAGTTATTAAATTTTCAAAATGTTTCTTATAGAAATGTTGGCAATATTCTGTTGTTATTCAATTCGCAATCTAACATTTTATACCGCTACAAAATTCTGTGCAAATTCTAAGCATACCCCTGAGGCAAGTCATGTTCTCGATAAGAATTATTCTTAAAAGCGTTTTTTGCCAAAATTAAGATTTTGTTACAAAATATCAGACGCTTTTGACAGACATGGAGGTGTGCCTATATTTCTCTAAATACATCTAATAACTTTCCAACAATCAATAATTTTTATTAGACATTAACAATTGATGGCCATTTATTATTTTGTGTGGTAGTAACATGAGACAGATACATGTTACCTATTATTGTTTTGTTGTTGCTGTTATCGACCAGCCCAGACGAATGGACGCATGTCGAAATCTAATTGAATACATGCGGTTAATGAAACAATGAATATTACTTTTTTGTTTTCTTTATTTGGGGATTAATGTTTTGTGGTAATTTGTTATCGTCTATGGTTACATACACAATATTTGTTATAAGAATGAGATGTTTTTTCATCGAAATAATCATTTCCGACCCTATAATGTATATATATTCTTGATCAGCGTATAATTCTATGACGATCTAAGCATGTCCGTCTGTCCGTCTGTCTGTTGTAATCACTCTATCGTCTAAACGAATTGAGATAGAACGCCAAAATTTTGCATATAGTCGTCTTTTGTCTGCAGGCAGGTCAAGTTAGATGATGGGCTATATCGGTCCACGTTTAGACATAGCTCCCATATAAGGGTACCCGCCAAATTTCGGTATATTGGGGTTCTTGAGCGCGTTATTCAGCCGAATTCGCTGAAATTTGGTACATTGGGTTCTTATTGGGTACTAAATGTCTCCACAAAAAATTATAAGTATAGGTCCACTTTTTCTGGTAGCCCCCATATAACGGTACCTCCTAATATTCAGTATTTTGAGGGTTTTGGTCGTATTTTTCCACCGAATTGGCTGCAATTCAGTATTTTGAGTTCTTAATAGATATCAAATCTCTCCAGAAAAATTATAAATATAGGTCCATTTTTTCGGGTAGCACTCATATAAGGGTACCCCCCAATTTTCGGTATTTTAGGGTTCTTGAGCGCGTTTTTCAGCCGATTTCGCTGAAATCTGGTAGATTGGGTTCTTATTGGGTACTAAATGTCTCCACAAAAAGTTATAAGTATAGGCCCACTTTTTCTGGTAGCCCCCAAATTTTCGGTATTTTGGGGTTCTTGAGCGCGTTTTTCAACCGAATTCCCTGAAATTTGGTATTTTGTAGTCGTATATGGTAACAAATATCCCTGCTGAAAATTATTAATATTCGCCCCCCTTTTTGGCGTAGTCGCCATATAACCCCTTTTATACCCTTCACCACACTGTGGTACAGGGTATTATGTCTTTGTGCATATGTTTGTAACAGACAAAAGGAAACGAGATAGACACATGGTTCCTTTTGAGAATATGCATAGAATCACTTTCTAAGTCGATTTATGCATGTCCGTCCGTCCGTCTGTCTGTCTGTCTGTGCATGTTAAATTGTAAACAAAGTACAAGTCGCATTTATGATCCGAATTGGATGAAATTTGGCATAGGTCACTTATTCGGCCCAAGGACAAACCCTATTGAAATTGGGAAAAATCGGTTCAGATTTAGATATAGCTCCCATATATATTTTCGTCCGATTTAAGGTAAATGGGGCACCAAAGTCCATCTATATCTTTCGATTTGCATGAAATTTGGCATAGAGTGTAAAATCAGATTTTGAATTAGGTGCAGAATGATGTGTGCCAAGTTTCAAGAAAATCGGTTCAGATTTAGATATAGCTCCCATATATAGGTTCGTCCGATCTAAGGACGAAATAGTGCACCAAAGTCCCTATATATCTATCTTTCGACTTGCACGAAATTTGGTACAGAGTACTGAATTAGGTCCAGAATGATGTGTGCTAAGTTCCGAGAAAATCGGGTCAGATTTAGATATAGGTCCCATATATAGTTTCGTCCGATTTAAGGTAAATGGTGCACCAAAGTCCCTATATATCATTCTATTTGCACGACATTTGGCACAGAGTTCTGAATTAGGAAAAGAATGATTTGTGCTAAGTTTCGAGAAAATCGGGTCAGATTTATATATAGCTCCCATATATAGGTTCGTCTGATTGTTTTGTAACTGGGGCACCAAAGTCCCTATATATCATTCAATTTGCACGAAATTTGGCATAGAGTACTGAATTAGGTGCAGAACGATGTGTGCCAAGTTTCGAGAAAATCGATTCAGATTTAGATATAGCTCCCATATATAGGTTCGTCCGATCTAAGGACGAAATGGTGCACCAAAGTCCCTATATATCTATCTATCGATTTGCACGAAATTTGGCATAGAGTACTGAATTAAGTTCATAATGATGCGTGCTAAGTTTCGTGAAAATCGGTTCAGATTTAGATATAGCTTCAATATATATTTTCGGCCGATTTAATTTAAATTGTCCGATCGGCACACAATTTTGTACAATGTACTGTTACTATAACCTTTCGTGTGTCAAGTTTTCTTGAAATTGGTTAAGATTTACATATACCTTCTATATATTTTTTCGTCCGATTTTAAGTAAATGGTACACTAAAGGCCCATACAGACCCATACACGTACAGAAATTAATAAAAATTAATATCTAGCAACATATGTAGAATACCCCCAATGTGGTGAAGGGTATCATATAGTCGGCCCAATCCGACTTTACTGCTTTCCTTACTGGTTTGTAATTAACCCTGTAGCAGGCCAAATAATTTACTCACTTCTTTGATGATTATGGCGCTAATAATCTTTAATCAATTGGCAAATTTGTCACACCCTGTTTTTCTTAGCATGACTATATATCATCTCTTAACTGATATTTACCTTTAGAATATACTTTCTTTATAGCAACGTATTTACTGCACACCGTCTGAAGGCGTGCTCGCGTTAGCAATCATGGCAATCATGCCTGCCTTCTTTTTGATGGCATGCATGTTTGCCGATCACTGGAACGTTCTAATCCGAAAATCAACGCAATTGGAAAACTACATATTTGGCTCTGGTATGAACTAGGATTATCGATTTCGTTCGAAAATTAATAAAATTAATTAATAATATTAAATTAATTAATAAATTAATTAATAATTAATTAATAATATTTTCGACCACAATCAAAGTTGGGAAATAGGAAAGTTCCTCACCGATTGGATTTATCTAACTGAAAATTATGATAAATGGATTGGATTATTAGTTTATAAGTCATTGGACCCGCCATTTTTTTAAAAGCACTGTTCCGAGAAAAAAGCTTTTGCCGTCAATTGATGCTGAGCCAATAAATCGGCTATGTCTTCAAGAGTTCTTGATATTTTTAATTGAAATTTTATAGAGATATTCTTCAATTAGTATAGTTTTGAATTAATTTGAAACCCAAAATTCAATTTTTGGAACTCCATAGGGAAACCGTTTAGAAGTGTTTAGAGGATGAAACAAAATTTGATTTTTGTACATCGTAGGTGGATCTTGCCGTACCCATTTGTCACAAAAAATATAACAATATTTATAATTTTGCACATACAATGAAAAAACTCGTACACCTATGACAATGGGATATATCGGTCTGCGTTTGGTCCTTTTAACGCTACCACCACCTATCAGGTATTTTGATGGTTTCAGCCAAATTTTTTAAACGAAATATTTGTACAACGTTTTCGATAAGGTTTTAACTTTGCCCTCAATAAAAGGTCCTGTTCAATTTTTGACATACGTTTTGGTATCGACTTCTTTTTTAGGTACACCCCACTTCAGGTAATTAATAATTTAACTGCATTTTATGATGTTTTGGCATAGTGTCAATATAAAAGTACAAGCCTATTTCCGATATTCTAAAGGTTTTCACCGCATTTTCCATTCGATTTTTACATAGCACAGAGGTAATTATTTTTCCTGAACATTTTCAAAAAATCACTGATTTGCTGCAAACATCAAAAACATCGATTTTGCCGAAAATTCTTTTTAAATTTTCAATAACACCTTACATAGAACAGAGTAAATTCTACAGTTTCTCAATCAGAGTGTGTAAGAGATATTTTTATAATTTTTTACAAAACATGAAGTCTAATATAGCGAAAAATTCTGCATCAATTACTCAAAAATCACGATTTTTTATACCCTTCCCCACACTGTGCTACAGGGTATTATGTATTTGTGCATATGTTTGTAACAGGCAAAAGGAAACGAGATAGACACATGGTTCCTTTTGAGAATATGCATAGAATCACTTTTTAAGTCGCATGTCCGTCCGTCCGTCCGCCCGTCCGTCCGCCCGTCCGTCCATGTATTTTTGTTAACAAAGTAGAGGTCGCATTTGTGATCCGATTTGGATGTAATTTGGCACAGTTCACTTATTTGGCCCAAGGACGAACCCTATTGAAATTGGAAAAAATCGATTCAGCTTTAGATATAGCTCCTATATATATTTTCGTCAGATTTAAAGTAAACGGGGCACCAAAGTCCCTATATATCTTTCGATTTGCACGAAATTTGGCGTAGGTTAATGAATAAGGTCCAGAATGATGTGTGCTAAGTTTCGTCAAAATCGGTTCAGATTTAGATATAGCTCCCATATATATTTTCGTCCGATTTAAGGTATATGGTGTAGCAAAGACCCTATATATCTTTCGATTTGCACGAAATTTGGCATAGCGCTCTGAATTAAGTCTAGAATGACGTGTGCTAAGTTTCGTGAAAATCGGTTCAGATTTAGATATAGCTCCCATATATAGTTCGCCCGATTTTGGTAAATGGTATGTCAAAGCCCCTACATATCTTCTGATTTGCACGAAATTTGGCATAGTATACTAAATTGCTTCTAGAAGAATGTGTGTGAAAGTTCTTGAATATCGGCTCAGATTTGGATATAGATCCCATATGTATTTTCGACCGATTTAATGTAAATG